TCATTTTACTGGTATTACTCGTTCGAGACTACATGCCCTCAGAAGCGGATATTTTTAATGTCCTCCAGTGCATTAAATTTCTTTCATCGTACTTTCTCCAAATCCACTTAAAAGTAGAGATTATCTTTCCATTAAAGAAGTTCGAGCACCCCGCGTATTAATTAAAGTTAACTTTCTGCAGAAGATTCGCTTAATAGAAATGATATCTCCCGTTCAAGTTATTTTGTGCATTTTCTTATTATTATTTAGTTGGTGTTCACGATTTCTGCCGATCTTAACATTTATTTCATGCCAGTCCCTGAGCTTTTCAATGTAGTGGATAACATTATTCCTTTGTATATAGGAGGTTTGGCTTCGGATCCGACTTGGGTCTTACCTGAAATTGGCATAACTACTTCCATCCACGCCATTTTCAATTAATATTTCATCGCAATCTTTTATTTTGCTCTGTATATTGTAAGATGACGTTAGAGTTATGTCAGATGTATAAATATTTACGAAAACCACTGATGGAAAAATATAGACACTCCTTGTACTTGTTTTGTCAGAGTACGTGCAGTTCGTTGCGCATAAAGGACGTATTTTGTTTTTCTGTTGCAATTAGTGTTTGGCTTGCCTCGGTAATGTGTTGGATTTTCATAACAGAGATAATTTGCTCAGTTAAAACGTGTACTCAGCAGGTGAATAAAGCAGGTGACACTGCAGAATATGTTGGTTCCATAAGTATTCCCGTTATGATTAGACATAGCTAATGGCGGGTAATAAAAATGTCAATCTGGTCTGCTCGCATCAGACTGACGTAAGAACTTGTTAGCCGTCTGTCTGCGGCTTTCTGTCTGGTCTCTTAGGGGAAATAGTTCAAAATTAGTTTACAATTACAAATGATAGTTCAGTGCACTGACTGGTCACGGATTCCAGGTAGTCTGTACTGTCATTTGTTGAAGCACTTGTCTCAGAATGATATCAGATACTGGGGTTCAAAGTTTTAATTTCCATCAGAGAGGCCTTCCTTCAAACAAAACTTTTATAAAGAACCTGCAGTGTTATATTCTTTTGAAAGGTCACGAGGAAATTAATGATCAGCTCGCTTTCTCACTAAGGCGTACGTACATCCAACGTATGTAACTGCTACAGTTTACTGTGTGTTGTTTTTGCAATTATTTCGTGGTTAAATGATTTTGCAACGCTCGTGTTATTTCAGTGTTTATCATCTCACTGAAAAACCAAGTGTGCGCTATGTATTTTTCATTTCTATGCTGTGTTGGAGAGTGGTGTATATTATAACAAAGGAATCCATGTTAGACAAGAGGTTTTAGATATGTGGAAATGTATTTTGCTGAAACCCACAACCGCCATATTTACATGTGGTTCTCGTTTCCAGGACAAGGCTTATCCTCAAGTTGCGGATGTAGGAGAAGGCCGCCTCCAGACATCAGGGCAGCTCCGACTGTGTTTGCTCTAATTTATTAAGCTTTTTCACCGGCTGATATTTGTGCAGCGACCACAGACAACTGCCTAGCATAATACTGAAATTTACACAGGGCCATGCACTTGAGTGGCTAGCTCATGAAGTTACCTAAAAAACTTAAGGTAGGTGATGTGATTTCTTTTAGAGAGTGCGTTCTGTTGTGTATTAATGCTAATAAAAATGAATAAATGTTTACACATCTTTTATTCTACTATCTAATATATGTATCGACCTAAACAGGTCACTTTTAGGTGTAGATATTTGAATGTGAATGACCTGATGCATAGGTGTGTGTATATATACATATATATTTAAATGCGCTAATCGAAGCTAAGATAAATCCGTGAGTTTTGCAGGAAGTCTCGTTAGATCGGAGTTTAAATTGTGTAGAGAGTTTCGTAATAGTATATTTGAAAGTTGAGCATTAAAATGTAAAAATGTTAATGTAAGCTAGAGGTTTTATGTGTTTGAACAATGGCTAATTTTAAACTAAAGTTATTTATTGAAATTAAACATGATTATTAAAATTAAAATTAGGTATTATAGAGGTACCAATTGGACCTGTACTAATTGAATGCTACAACAAAGATCAAATATCCAACAGTGTCGTGTGGTACGTATTCTTGTACTGTACATGCTCTTGTAATTATCCCTTGAGCTAAACACGTGTCTGATTATTCCGAAGTCATAATTACTACTATTATATTACTTAGCTTTTTCTTGAAAAGAAAGTGCAGGACCAAAGCCATATTACCTCATGTATGTCAGTGCATGCAGCTGTTCAGCTTTGATACTATTTTCACAGTCCACCTAATTCCATACACATTGAAGGTGGCATCAAGACTTCTGATGAACATCTTATTACAAACTATAAATTGTTGTTTTTATTTATGTACTTTCTAGATATGGACTACATTTTATCTCAGATGAAGCATATGCACTGTCAATTTATGAATCCCAAACAACATTCCAAAGTGTGCTGAGCCAAACATGTCTTCCAGACCCACAGAATACTCATGTTGTTGTTTCAGTAGAAGTTAAACTGACATGACGCTCAGCTGTTACGTGACGTCACGCACACCACCACATCATCAGCTACATGACAATGGGACTGTACGCACGCTTGAACTATTTAAAGTGGTAAATAATAGGATGTTGGTTTCGGTTAAAATAAGATTTGAAGGAGAATAAGAAGCAATTCGAGGCGTGTGAAATGTTTTCACTTTACAACCTTTGAAGACTTAATTCGCCGTACAAAGACGCGGTTCGTCTAATGCCAACCCTCGCCGTCCGTCCTTCGGATACGCGTGCCGGACTTTCCTCCAGGGGCAGGCTAAAGTAGACAACCCGACATGCATCCGTACCTAGCAAGACTGCGTAATGTTCAAATTAATTAAATAAAAAATAAAAATATTTTGAACATGTCGTTCTGCCAATTGTTTAAGAACTGAAATATTACAGGAGGTGTCCTGGTTTTGATCAGGATTTTCAGGGAACTTAGGGATTGAATGAGAATAAGACATGAGCGCCTTCTTTAAATCCCCGCTGTACAAAAAGCCTTTTACAAATTAACCAATGAGTAACCAGTACAGAAAATTGTCTCGAAATTTTAATGAAAATAACAGAGTACCTTAATGAAAATTTTCATTAGTAACTGCGGATACAAAATCCGTATTTTTGGTGTCAGAGAATGGTAGAGGTAAATGAATTAATGAACGAACGAGATCATAAAAACAAAACTGACTAATAATAATAAATTAAAGGCGATATTATCTCTGACAAAACAAACACAGTAGAAAGACATCTTATTTTCCGCGATTTTCAGTGCAAATTTTCCATCAGTCTGCAAGATCATAAAAAAATATTGCGAGGAACCTTACTA